GGGTGAAGTCTCTCTCAGGGAGGAGTGATAGGGAATGGCAAAGGATACACTGACAAAGGAGATTAATCAGAACTGGCTTTGACAAGCACTGTGGCAATGGGACAATTAAAATAGACTTTCAGGGGGAGAAAAAAAGAGGAATGAATTTGGGGGGGGTAGAGAAAATAGTGCAACAATGAATGAATGGAAACCCAAAATCTCTGTAAATGTTCATTAAAATTAGTAAAATTTCATAATAATAATAATAAAAATAACTGGAGCTGAGAAAAACAATACCCTTCACAATAGCTAATCACAAGATTAACTACTTAGGAATAAATTTAATCAGAAGCACAAAGGATCTGTTCAAAGAAAATTACAAAACATTACTATAAGAAACAAAAAGAGAGGGAATCGCTGACCTTTTGCATTAAATAAGCACAGGGCCTCCAGTCCTGCACCCCTCATTCTTCCCTTGCCTGAGTGGAGCAAGATGAAGGGCAGTCAGCCTGAGTTACCTCACCAAAGCAGGGTCTAAATAAATAGTCATGTGTCACAGAACTTTGTCTTTCTTCCCTGTTGTCCCAGCCCACCAGTGCCACACAGCAATGCCAAGTAAGCACTACAAGTGTTGCTGGCCTAATGGATGGGTTGTGGGGAGAGGGTGGGACAGGGGCCGGAGGACGTGCCCCAGGGTCCATCATGGCACAGGCACTACACGCATGGTGTTGGCGAAGCCGGAACCTGGACTCCACCCGGTCAGCACAATGACCACGTCTCCACTTTTAAAGAAGCCTCGAGCTTTACCGACATTCATGGCCAGGTTCACCCGGAGGTCCGCATCTTCAGCCCAGGCCGACTGCACTGCCTCCTGGCACAGCACAGGGAAGATGCCACGGTACAGGTGGGCCTGACGGGCAGTCTGGGGGTTCAGAGTCACAGCAATGATGGGGGCCCAGGGGCGGTACCTGGCTACCTGGTGAGCAGACCTGCCAAACTTGGTGGGGACGATTATGGCCCCACTGCAGCACTTGAATGATGCCTCCACGGCGCCCACGGTGGCAGCTTCTGTAGGGTCGCTGGTAATGGGCGCCAGGCGGCGGAGCTCTTCAAACAATTGCAAGTGGTAGATGGCAGCCTCTGCCTCATGGGCAATCAGGTGCTGCATGCGCACAGCCTCCAGCGGGTAGTCGCCTTTGGCCGTCTTTCCATACAGCATGATGCAGTCAGCGCCATCCAGGACTGCATTGGCAGCATCATTGTCCTCGGCGCGGGTCAGGCGGGGCTTCTTGATCATGCCCTCCAGCTTCTGCGTGGCACAGATGTCTGGTTTCCCAGCTCGGTTGCATCGCCCAATCATTATCTTCTGAGCCAAGAAGACCTTCTCTCCGGGAATCTCAATGCCCAGATCACCACGAGCCACCATGATTCCATCGCTGGCTTCCAGGATCTCATCAAACCTTCTAACTCCCTCATGATTTTCGAACTTGCTGATAATCAGCGATTCCCTCTCCTTTGTGTTCAGTTCCTGTAAAAAATTCAGTCCTGGCCTGGGGTCAGAAAATAGCAAGAGCCAGGGCCGAAGCCAAGGGGCAGTGGTTAAAGTGTACGCAGAGTGGCCTTGGACCTTAATCACTTCTGCAATCCTTCAGCTTCCCCTGTTCTCACCTTGTTCGTGTATTGGGCACTTCTGTTTCCTGCACTCCATTCAGCTGTGTCTACAGACAAACACTCCTCCCTTCACCTTCTATTTTCCTACTACAGCCACCTCCAGGCCTGTTGCTATAGAGCCTACCTGTATGTCAATAAACAAAAGCTGAAGCAAAAAAAAAAAAGAAACAAAAAGAGAACTGGAGAAGTTGAAGAATATCCCTTCCTCATGCATAGGAAGACTCAATATTGTGAAAATGACAATACTACCGAAGGCACTTTACAGGTTCAATGCAATCCCAATACAAATACCAATTCCATTCTTCAACGAGATGGAAAAGGCAGTCTCCAACTTCATTTGGAATGGAAAGAGGCCCCCAAAAAGTAAAGCACTCCTTAAAAATAGAAACAAGGTAGGAGGCATGTCACTCCTTGATTTCAAATCCTATTACACTACCGTGGTGGTCAAGATAGCATGGTACCGGTACAATGACAGACACATCGATCAATGGAATAGGATTTAGAACCCATAAATCAGCCCATCTACCTATGGTCAACTGATTTTTGACAAGGAGATGAAATCAATTAAGTGGGGGAATGACGGCCTATTTAACAAATGGTGTTGGCAAAATTGGAAAACTATCTGCAGAAAACTCAAGCAAGATCCACACCTCACTCCATACACAAAACCCAATTTAAAATGGATTATGGACCTAGAACTAAAACTAAAGAGTATAAACTTCATTAAAGAAAAGCTTGGAAGAACTCTAGAAGTCTTAATCCACAACATAAACAGTCTTCCAATCATCCTGGAAAATCTACAACCAGGAGAGGATAAAATAGATGAATGGGCGAGGGGTAAAGATGGCGGCAGTGGTGGAGGTGGAGGTTGGAGGAGGTGCTGCTGGGGAAGTGGAGCTGGATGAGGTTGATATGTCAGACCTGTTCCCAGAAGAGCAATGGAGGGTCTAGCATGCACGTGTGCACACTAAGCACCATGGCCACAAAGCCATGCATGCCGGAATGGTTCTCATCCTCATTGCCACCTTGGGGTGGCCCAGCTACTCGTGCAGTGGAAGCAAGAGGCATCCCCGTTCCTACAATATGGTGACCCTCTTTCAGATGTGGGTTGTTCACCTCTATTTCACAGTGAAGCTGCACTGGTGGAGGTTTCTCGTCATCTGAATCGTGTTCTCTGCCATTACTGCCTTTGTCACCTTCTGAGCCACCAGAAAACCTCTAGTACAGACAACCCCAAGGTTGGTTTATAAATGGTTCCTGCTGATCTATAAAATCAGCGATGCCACTGGCATTGTTGGCTACATGACTGTCATGTTTACTCTCTTTGGTCTTAACTTACTATTCAAAATGAAGCCAGAAGATGCCATGGACTTTGGCATTTCATTCCTCTTATATGGCCTCTACTATGGAGTTCTTGAGTGGGATTTTGCAGAGATGTGTGCAGACTACATGGCATCTACCATAAGGTTCTACACTGAGTCAGGCATGCCTACCAAGTACCTTTCGGACAGCGTGTGTGCTGTGTGTAGGCAGAAGATCTTTGTGGATGTCAGTGAAGAGGAATCATCGAGAACACATGGCTGTCCTGCAATCCCTTATTCCACGAATTCTGCACCCACTGCTGGTTCATTGTGGGCAAGAAGCAGACGTGTCCCTACTGCAAAGAGAAGGTAGACCTAAAGAGGATGTTCAGCAACCTCTGGGAGAGACCACATATCATGTATGGGCAACTGTTGGATTGGCTTTGGTACCTGGTAGCCTGGCAGCCAGTCATCATTGGCCTGGTACAAGGCATCAACTACATCCTGGGCCTGGAATAGTTAGGAAGAAGGAGCATCCCAGAAGAACCCACACACCCACCATGGACCTTAGGGCACCACCCTTCCAGCCCACAAAGCATCCTGGGTGGGAAGGCCTCACAGAGGCAGTTGGGCCACTCAGGATCCCCTCTAGCTGTGTCTGGACTGGGGAGGGTTATAATGGAGAGCCATACAGTGGGCTGCCAGCAGTTGGGGGCTTTTTAAAAGAAAACTATTTTGATGAATATATTTTTAAAAAAAAAATAGATGAATGGGACCTTCTAAGAATCAAATTCCTATACACATCCAAAAACTTCTCCAACAGGGTAAAAAGGGAAGCCACAAACTGGGAAAAAAAAACACATGGTAATGACATGTCTGACAAGGAACTTATAGCTACAATTTATAAAATACTCAAGCATCACAACAAGATAAAAGTAAATAACTCAATTGAAAAATAGGCACAGGATATGAATAGACACTTCACCAAAGAAGGCATTCAGATGGCCAACAAACAAATCAAGAAATGTTCAAAATTCCTAGCTCTAAGAGAGATGCAAATAAAAACAATTATGAGATATCATCTCATCCCAGTAAGAACAGCAAAATTTAACAGAACAGCAAACATCACATCTGGTTGGGTTGTGGAGAAACTGGAACTCTTATTCACTGTTGGTGGGAGTGTAAAATGGTGCAACCACTATGGAAAGCTGTATGGCATTTTCTCAAAAAGTTGCAAATAGAAATACCATTTGACCTGGCAAATCCAGTACTGGGAATTTCCCCTAAAGAAACCATAACTGCCACCCAAGCAGATATATGTGCACTCATGTTTACTGTGGCCTTGTTCCCAATAGCAAAGAGCTGGAAGCAATCCAAGTACCCATCAACAAACAAATGGATAGAGAAGCTGTGGTATATTTTACACAATGGAATACCATGCAGCATTGAAAAACAAGGAACTCATGAAATATTATGCAAAATGACGTCCCTGGAGGACATTATGCTGAGTGAAATATCTCAGTCACAAAAGGACAAATATTGCATTGGGACACCGTTGTAAAACGAGACTGACATCAGGATTGAGGGAAGACAGAAAAGGAGGGGAGGAACGATGTATATTGCATTGAAACAGATGAGGGAGAGAACTGCTTAAAATGGACATGTGAACGGTTATTCCTGTCATTACAGTAGTCCAGAGTGAAGGCTACATAGTGGAGTGGACTGGGGGGAGGGATTGCATAAAAATGAAAGAGTTTTTCCTTTTCTTTTCAAGGAGAGGAGAGAATTTGGGGGAGGGGGTGGGAAGGGAGAAAAGTGCAACAGTGAATAACTGGAAACCTTAAATCTCCGTAAACTTACATTAAAATTAAGTAAAAAAAAAATACCATTTGGGAGAAAAGTGCAAGAGTGAATAACTGGAAACCTTAAATCTCCGTAAACTTACATTAAAATTAAGTAAAAAAAAATACCATTTGGCCCAGCAATGCCACTACTGGAGATTTACCTTAAAGAAACCAGAGCCATGACTCAAACAGATATGTGTACACCCATGATTATTGCTGCATTATTCATAATAGCAAACAGATGGAAGCAAGCCATGCGCCCATCAAAAAATAATAGAGAACCATTATATATTCACACAGTGGAATAATACTACATAGTACTGAAAAGAAGGAATTAATAAAACATTACAACATGGGTGAGACCAGAGGATATTATGATGAGTGAAATATTTCAGCCACAATAGGACAAATACGGCATAATTTCACCGTCATAAAACAAGACTGACATGTGGGCTGGCAGGGAAACAAGGAAAATAATTGATAGATAATGAACACTGAATCAGAACAGATGAAGGGAAGAGATTTTTAAAAGGAATATGTGATTAGACATTATTTGCATGACAACAGTCCAGAATAAGAGATGCATTGCAAAGTGGAATGGGGGAGGGGTGGAAGAAGAGGGAAGAAAATGTGCAACAATGAATGAATGAAAATCCCACTTTTCTGTAAACTTCTTAAAAATAATAATAATAATAAACAACTCATACCCATAAGAATAAACTTCCCTAGTAAATAATACCAAAGAAAGAGAAAGAAGCAACTATTTCCTTATGCATTTTAAGGACTTAGAAAAGAATATACTGAGTCACTGAGCAAAAGGAATTGGCAGACACAGAAGAATTTCATGAAACAACATATGAGCAAGAGCCTATGGTGATGAAGGAAGGTGTTCAAGCTGCTTTAAAGGAAATAGCAAAAAATAAGGCCCCAGGAATAGATGGTACAGCAATTGACATATTTCAGCTAACAGATGCTGCCCTGGACGTGCTCATTAAGTTGTGCCAAGAAATCTGGAGAACAACCACCTGGCCAACTGACTGGAAGAGATCGATATTTGTTCCCATCCCAAAGAAGGGTGACCCAACAGAGTGTAGAAACTATAGAACAATCTCATTGATTTCACATGCAAGCAAAATTCTACTGAAGATTATTCAAAAAGGACTGGAACAGCACATCAACAGAGAACTGTCAGAAGTCCAGGCTGGGTTTAGAAGGAGTCGTGGTACTACGGATATTGTAGCTAATGTTAGATGGATCTTAGCTGAAAGTAGGGAGTACCAGAGGAATTTCTATTTGTGTTTCATTGATTATGCAAAGGTGTTAGACTGTGTGGATCATAACAAACTGTGGCTGACTCTGAGAAGAATGGGAATCCCAGAACACTTGATCGTGCT